AGCCCCAGCCTGGCTTGGCTACAGCCTCTGGGCAGCACCCTGGCTGGGGCAGGGGGTGCGTGGGCCAGGGCACTGATGTGCTGGTCCCCGCAGGTACCTGATCGGCGAGGAGGGGTACTGCCTGACCTCCCTGCAGAGCGCCTTGGCCTTCCTGGAGTCCCTGCCCGCTGGGCCCGCAGCCAAATAGTGGCGCCACACTGCTCCTCTGCCTGGGGGCACTGACATACCTCTCTGAGACCCCTGCGGGGGCCGGGCACTGTGGGGAGAGGCCTGTAGGCTGCCCCCGGCCCCACATGCAGGGAAGGGCTGTGCAATATTTGGGGGTGTGCTTGGAGCCACCTACCCCCTCTAACCACTGCGGGGGGTGAGGGCTCGCCCCAGCCCCTGCTGCCCCACATTGGTGCTGCATCCTGGGCCGCGTTGACGCTTCTCCTGAGCCAACCACTGCTGCTTTGCACCAGGATCCCCTGGGCGCGATGCTGGGGAGGGGCCCAAGGGGCGGCATGCACTCCCCTGGGGTCGCAGCTCACACACCTCTGCCCATGCTGCTCTCGTGTGAGTGTGTGCCTGCAGTGCCATGCCAGCTGCCCCTGACCTGCTCCACTGGGCCTGCCTGGCATGGGGGCTGCAGCCGGTGCAGACCTGCAGTGCGGGGGGTGGCTGGAGCTGGTAAGTTGGGCTGTGCACGCGTGTGAGTACGTGCATGTACGCGTGCGTGTGTTGGGAGAGGCATCCTGCAGCCCCCTCCTGGCTGGAGTAAGCTGGGGGCTCATGGGAGCTGACTGTGTCGGGGCAGGCCTGGGCATCCCCCCACCCTGAGCCCTGGGGGCCCTCGCCCATGCCTGTCTCCCCCTGCCCCATCTCGGGCCGAGCGGGGCAGGAAAGGGGCTGGGCCTGCGCCCTCCCTGCCTGTCTGCAAAGCTGCTTTGTCCTGCTGGGGCTGGCCCGCGTCCGGGTCCTGGGGTAATAAACACGTCTGTGACCTGGAGCCCTGGCGCAGGTTCTTGGCGGAGCCGGGGGGCGGCGGGAGGTGGGGACAGGGCTGTGGCTGCCCCGGCCGGGGGAGCAACGCTTGCCCTGTGCAGCCCGGGGACAGGGGACAGGGTCCATGTCCCCCACTCACTGGTGCAAGAGCCAGGGCCCACCCTGCCTGGCAAGGGGGAGCTGGGCGGCGCCAGGGTCGCTGCGGGCGGCAGTGGCCCAGGCCTGATGTTGATGTGCCCTGGCAGTAAGAATGCTTCGCATGCCCTGTCACGGGCCCAGCCGGGGGCACCGGGGCGGCGGGCACGCGCTGCGGTGAACATGCCAGTCTGGGCTGCTTCCTGCTCAGCCCTGCCAAAGCCCAAGCCAGGCAGGGACGGAGGGGGCAGGACGAGCCCTCCCAGGGCACCGGCAGGGTCGGGGCCAGCAAGGGGCTGTGCCCACGGGCATGGGGCTGGGAGACGCCGGTTGGGGGCGGGGGGCTCGGTGCTCCCGGGCGCCCTGTGCAGCAGCGGCAGCTCCTCTGCGTTGCCCCCTGCAGGGAGCCCCTCCTGCGGCCCAGCGCCTGCCCCTCCCTGCCCTTCTCCGGGGCCCGGGGGGCCGCCCCCGTGGTGAGCGGCACCTGCGGGACAGCCACAGCCGTCAGCCCGGCCGCAGGGGGCAGCAGGGCGCGGCGGGGGGGCACGCGGAGCGCCCGC